GAAGCACACACAAATTGATCAACAACTGGCAGGCATTCAAACTACCATTCTAGAGGAATTCAAATAAATTAGAATGAAACCAGACACTTAATACGTACGTTGCATAGAGCAAGAGAAGAGCTGAAATTAGAATAAAATGGAAAGGGAGTAGAAGTAGGAGGAGTGAGTGGTTGAGTGAAGCAGACTCCATTAGTGAATGAGAGGCAGTTGGAACAATTACTGATACCACAAGGGATACAGAGCTTCTTGCTAGAGTCAGCAATCGTGCTAGCTGGACATGTTTGGCACCTTCTGTCTCCAGTTGATGAATGATTGATGGGAATTGTGTCAACTATAATAGGTAAAGATTAAAGAAATAAACCATAAAAATATTGAATTCAATATTAAATGTTTGTTTTTTGTAATTGGGTGGAGCTCTCCTTTGCGAAATAAAAGGTGCAAACAGAACTGTGAACATAATGTACAGTTACAAAGCATATACCGTATACTGGGAAATTTTCAAGTAGCCAAATTTTCATGGATTTCATGTTTTCTTGCTCCGTCGCGAAAATAAAAATCATGAAATTCTGAATTTCTATTGCCACATGGTGAAGTTCACAAGCTATTCGCGAAAACATTATTTCGTGAAATCTTACAAATGCAAATTTGCAAAAAATTTAGCGACGTGAAAATATCCCAGTATACGGTAGGTGCTATCAATGCTTATTTCACAGTAGCAAAAACTCCTTAACCCCTCTCCCCCTCTTTCACTTACCAAATATAGAAGTCTGATCCTCACAGCCAGTGCAAGTCCCTCCAGTGTATATCAATGGAGACAGACAAGTGAGGCAATACAAACCATCATCAGATCTAACCTATATAAGTATAAACATGTACATGTAATATAGTTACTTACAGTATAACTTATTATAACATATTATATGTACCATGGTCTCTCGGTGTCTATCAGTATTATATAGGCGGTAGCCTATATGTAGGATTGAGGTTGGTTTTTCAAGATGGCGGCCATTTTTATAATTTTCAAACACTTATAACTCTTTTATCTTACGTTGTACAGCCTTATAAATGGCTTAGATGAGCTCTCCTTCACTGAGCGATTCTCCTGGTACCTTTAGAGTGGACTGTAATGTAGCGGGAGCATTTCTGGAGAATAGGCCCAAATTCAAATTTCTGCAAAATTCTTCAGACTTTTTCTTCTTTCATCTTTCTTCTATCAACACGGAAATCTTTTAAGCCAGAGAACCGCTCAAGTTGGCTTTTACATCATTCCTTTGAGCTTGGGTCAAGGACAGGACATGTGGCTTCAAAAAGAAGTAAGGACAGAGAACAATGGAAGACAAATTCCAGCTGCAGCACCATGTGGGTTTGTGGTTTGAGTCGTGTGGGTTTGTGGTTTGAGTCGTTTGACGCCATTTTAATTTATGCACACGTGATTAGCATGAAATGATTAACCTAACCACATAATCATAACAGAAAGTAATTTTAATAATTTAAGAAAAAAGAATGGAAACAAGTAAATAAAAAACATTAAAAATGGAAAAGTA